AGTCTCCTGCCTCTGCCTCCCAAGTAGCTGGGACCACAGGCGCCCGCCACAACACCTGGCTATTTTTTGGTTGCAGCCATCATTGTTGTTTGGCGGGTCTGGGCTGGATTCAAAACCGCCACCTTAGGTGTACATGGCTGGCGCTTTAGCCACTTAAGCCACAGGCGCCAAGCCAGTCCCCTTACTTCTTAAGCAACAACCTTCTTCCTCTCCAGCTCTGATGTTGAAACTCTTGTTTTTTCTATTAATCATATTGCATATGCTCATTTGTTGGTGGAGTTTTTAAAAGTCTAGTTTAAATACAGTTGATTTCAGCCCTGCAAAATGCTATCCATGTTGCTGTTTGGAAATGGGGCATAGTTAGTGTAGACTAAGGGTTCTAAGACTTCTCACTGAACCTGAGCCACACGTGTTGTTGACTATCACCGGCCTCTGCCTGTGATTCTCCTCTGCCTTTGTCTAAGGAAATTCAGCCTCACATTTAAATCTTGCCAGCTTCAGCTGGGTGCCCATAGCTCATTGGTTAGGGCACCAGCCACATGCTCCGGTGCTAGTGGGTTCAAACCCGGCCCAGGCCTGCTAAATAAAAATAAAAAACACAGCAGAGCGTTGTGGTGGGCGCCTGTAGTCCCAGCTACTAGGGAGGCTAAGGCAAGAGAATCACTTGAGCCCAAGAGTTTGAGGTTGCTGTGAGCTATGATACCACCTCACTGAGGGTGACAAAATGAGACTTTCAATTAAAAAAAAAAATCTTGCTGGCTACATAGTTGTTGGAGTTTTGTTTGTTGTGAGACAGAGTCTCACTTTGTCATCCTTGGTAGAGTGCTGTGGCACCTCAGCTCACAGCAACCTCCAACTCTTGGGCTTAAGAGATTCTCTTGCCTCAGCCTCCCAAGTAGTGGGAACTACAGGCATCCACCACAACCCCCGGCTATTTTTTGGTTGTAGTTGTTGTTTGGCAGACGCAGACTAGATTTGAACCTGCCAGCTCCGGTGTATGTGGCTGGTGCCCTAGCCGCTGAGCTACAGGTGCCGAGCCATTGAGTATTTTTTGATACAGTCTCACTCTGTCATCCAGGCTCCATTGCTGGCGCCTCAGCCCAGCTCATAGGCCCACAGCAACCTCTAGCTCCTGAGCTCAAGCAATTCTGCTGCCTCAGCCTCCTGAGTAGCTGGGACTATAGGCACCTGCCACACCTGCTACCATGCTTGCCCAGCTAGTTTTTCTGTTTTTAATAGAGATAGGGCTTTGCTATGATGAGGCTGGTCTCCAACCCCTGACCTCAAGTAGTCTTCCCCACTTGGCCTCCCAGAGTGCTAGGCCTAATAGTTGTTGGCTTTGATGTAGCCCACCTGATTCATGCAGGTTCTGAGCCCTGGATAAAATGTACCAAGATTCTAACACTCACTCCCCTTTGCCTCTCTAGCTGATGCAGTGGTGCAGTATGATGTGGAGCTGATTGCACTGAACCGGGCAAACTACTGGCAAAAGCTAGTGAAGGGCATTTTGCCTGTGGTAGGCATGGCCATGGTGCCAGCCCTCCTTGGCCTCATTGGGTATCACTTATACAAAAAGGCTAATAGACCTAAAGTCTCCAAAAAGAAGCTCAAGGAAGAAAAACGAAACAAGAGCAAAAAGAAATAATAAATGGTAATTAAAAAAACAAAACTTCTTTGCATTCTTCACCTGATACCTTCTGAGCCTGCATTTGTAAGTGAGGTAAAAAGGCATTCTGAGTTGGATCTTGCCTGGCATGGGGCTGGTTGGATCACCTATTCCCCTGGCCTCCTCTTGCTGTCTTTACTCTAAGGTCCTGGTCTTGAAGCTTTCCATAGGATCTCTACGTCCTTAAGGAATGGGTTTTGGCTCCTTGGTGCCTAACTCCAAGGAGCACTCCTTCATTGAGCAGTAAGCCTCCTGGTAGTTACTTAGCTACTATCTCTATTCCTGGGGCCCACAATATTCCTAGTGTCCTCAAAGCAAACTGCTTATCTAATATCACAAAGATATAAGCAGCTCATAAACTCCAGGGAAATTTTTAATAGAAAAGTCCTGAGGTCTCAAAAAAAAAAAAATCTCTGGAGGGTTAAAAAGAGATTTTTCTCATTGGGTCACAGGGTATGGGAGATCACATGGGCTGCTTCAGTGATGTTATAAGTAGTTGGATGTTTCTTGTCACCTGGCAGGGCTGTAGGTGTGGGCAAGGGCAGGTTGCTTCGGTGGTTGACTATGAAGAGTGGGTTGAGCTGGCTCAGCACTTCGTCGCTCACTGAGATGCCATCCAAGTACTGCTTTAGCATCTCCCGCAGCTTCTGGTTGATTTCCAACAGCTGGACTCGTCTGTGTTGGAGGCTCAATTGCTCCAGTTTCACTTTGTTGTATCTTTTCCAGAAATTCTCCATCCCTTTATAGTCCACCATCACCTGGGAGTTGAGATAAAGGGAGAAGGTGTACAGCAGGACCCATTAGCAAATGCTGCCCAAAGCCCCAACATCCCCTAGCCTTTACCTTTGCAAGCTCCTCAGTAAGCTCTCCTAAGTCATTCTCAATCCCCTCCTGCTCTGCAGGAGTCAATACTGATGAATAAAAAGGCAGCACTTTTTCTTCCTCTGTTTCAAATTTCCTGCATATTTCAGCAAGTTTAAGAATCTTTTCACCCTGTTGGAAGCAGGAAGAGACTATTAATAAGAGGTGGAGGGGAGAAATAGCTGAGTTAATTCCTCTGACTAAACCCAAGAAAACTATTCATCTACATGGGAGACAAAGGTAATAAGAGTGTGTTACACAGTGTTTTCTGTGTAACAGGCACTGTGGCAAGGATTTTAGATTATATATGTATATTTTTTTAAATTAAGACAGTCTCACTTTGTTGCCCTCTATAGAGTGCTGTAGCATCATGGCTCCACAGCAACTTCAAACTCTTGGGCTCAAGCTATTCTCTTGCCTCAGCCTCCCTAGTAGCTGGGACTACAGGCACCCGCCACAATGCCCGGCTATTTTTCAATAGTTTGTTTAGCAGGCCTGGGCTGGGTTTGAACCCACCAGCTCTGGAGCATGTGGCTGGTGTCCTAACCACTGAGGTATGGGCACCCTCTAGAATATTATAAAAATTCATTTCACTTAAAATATAAGAAAGAGAAGAAATGTGGAATTAAAAAAGTATTTTAAGTGTCCACTCAGGTAGGAAGCAGGAAGAAGCCCTCTTCTACCTCTCCCAAGTCCCTTGCTCCTTGCAGGAAGGCTTTGTTCTGACTACTTTCCCTCCTATGTTACCTTATCAACAATTTTCCTTAGGGCCTTGAGAGTGGCATTACTTTCCAGGGTAAGTTTGACTAAGTTCTCTTGGGATATGGCCCGGGTCTGAGTCCTTTGGGCCTTAAATTTTCGCAGTTGTAGAAGGATCAATTCCTTGTCGTTACGGATATACTCATTCTGATCTTCACTCTCACGGCTGTGTATAATGATCTTGCCTTTTAAAATAACTATGGCATCCTGGAGGAACAAAGTAGAGGAAAGACTCGACCAGCTGAGGGTCTTGAGTGAGACAGGTAAAAGGGCTTCCTGGGAACAGTAATCAGAGCATATCATCTTTTCCCAGTCAGGCCCAGTGGAAATTGGGGGCAAACAGGCTAAAGGAGCAAGGAAAGCAGTGAGTATTTCCAGACAGCTATACTAACCTGTAATCTCTGTATTTTTTTCATCTGTGCTTCTATCTCTTTGGAGCTCTTCTCATCTTTCACTTTCAGGGTCTCAAAGGCCATCTTTCGATCCTCTGTGGCCTCAGTGTAATTCTTGAGTGCATCCTGAAACTTTTTCCAGAGTTCTTCCACTGTGTTCTCCAATTGTACTCTTAGAAAGTGCTTCTCTTCTAAATTCTAGGAAGTGGCCCCAAAATAGTTAATGCTTGGAATTACCCTGTTAGTGCCCTTTCACTTTCATCAGCAACCTCACCCTTGTGAACTGTTTATAGCATAGGTTAGTGGAGAGGTCGCCAATGAAAATGCTTACAAAGACCATGCAGATGATATAAATAAGTGCTGTGGGCTGGGTGGGGCCTGTGGCAAACTGGAGAGGAAATGCTCCATCTGGGAGGGGAGGGGCAGCCATTCAGCTCCACATGAGTGTTGCACATCTTTAAATTTTTCAAGAGAAGCTGAAAATTTGGATTTTTATGTGACATCTCTCCAGTTTTTAAATGAAGGATATTACTTATTCAAAATTTTTATTAAAAAACACTTTGGGGGGCGGCGCCTATGGCTCAGTGAGTAGGGCACCGGCCCTATATGCCAGAGGTGGCAGGTTCAAACCCAGCCCTGGCCAAAAACTGCAAAAAAACAAACAAAAAACACTTTAGGGTAAAATAAAGACATAGAACCTCACACCCAAACCTAGATCTGTGGGCTGGCTAAGTCTGCAACCTCCAGTATGGTGGAAAGCTCTTTGGGCCAAACCTAGATTCTCCTGGCTCTGCCACAAACCATCAGCATGACTTTGGCAGGTCATTTTATGTTTTGGGGCCTTAGTTTTTTCATCTGCAAAACACAGGGTGAAGCCAGATGATGTTCTTGGTGCCTTTTTAGCTCCAAAATGCATTTCCTTAACATTTAAGAATAGTCCTCTCTCCCAACCAATTTTCATAAAATAACAAAAAGCAATAGGGGTACCTACAGTGGGAACAGACTTTTTACTGACTGTGTTGGTTTAAGGGGTCACTTCTAGCTCTAGTTGCTTTGAGCATTCTTCTCACTTCTCTCCTAGTTCTTGCCCATCTGCTCTCCCTCTGTACCTTATTTTTGAGATCATCCCACATGCTCTGGAACTCCAGCTTGCTTTCATACTCAGAATCTATATAGTTCTGCTCCATGGCCATGAAGACATCTTGTAGGTAGTGAATCTCTTTGTCATGCTGGTCAATAATTGTCTTCCTGCAGGAGATAAGACCCTCCTCTGAGGGATAAAGCATATGGACCAAGAATAGCCGCTCAATGTAGTATACAGTAAAACTATATGAATGGTACCAACTCATAGGTACTGAAGGAGAAAAGAGAGAGAGAGGGCTCTGTTCCTTTTAGGGCCAAAAAGTATGGACTGTTTTATTTTGATTTTTGAATAGGTAGTATGTTCACATACAAAAAATGAAAAAGCACAAAAGGTTACAGTGAGAAGTCTCCCTCACATCCCTGTTCCCTGCCAGCTGGGTAGAATTTTGATGGTTGAAAGGGGGTGGTGAGGGATATGGATAGGGGCCTGACATGGGTAAAGGGAAGCTAAGGCTGAAAGCTTAAACTTGAGTTTGTTTAAAAGGAACTCAAAATCTCTGCTGGGGATCATGTCATAATCAAGGTAGTGTGCCAACGTACTTGCCACTTGCTTATTGGCAGCAGACTGACACAGACTGTGGGCACTCCCCTGCATTTAATTCCCCATCTCTTAGGCCCCATACCTTTCTGTCTCAAACTCCTTGGTTAGGGCCTCCAGTTCCATGCTGTAATTTTCCTCCAGGAGGTTAAGCCGACACCTCTGCAGGGCCAAAAGCTGGTCAACATTGTGCAAGTGGCTGCGCAGGGCATGGGCATACTGCTCTTCAGCTTCTGACAGGTCTTTAGCTAAAGACTGGGAAGGAAAGAGAGAGTTGCCATTTTAGCTGAATGGAATCTATATGAGAAAATAAAAATATATTCAACTGGCCTGCTGGATAGCATGATGGCATTTTTTCCTTAGTTCCTAATGCCAATTCTTTGGCTTTAGGAATCCTAACTCTTTCTTTTTGCAATCAAAGTGGTTTTTATTCCACCTGGGGTGCAGGTGGGTAGAGATTCATGGCTAGGGAGAAATCCACCCACTCTTTATTTTATTTTATTTATTTATTTGAGACAGAGTCTCACTGTGTCACCCTTGGTGCGTGGCATCACAGCTCACAGCAACCTCAAACTCTTGAGCTTAAGCAATTCTCTTGCCTCAGCCTCCCAAGTATCTGGGACTACAGGTACCTGCCACAACTCCCGGCTATATTTTTGTTGTAGTTGTCGTTGTTTGGCAGGTCCGGGCTGGGTTCAAACCTGCCTGTTCTGGTGTATGTGGCTGACGCCCTAGCTGCTAAGCTACAGTTACCAAGCTTTTTTTACCTGAGTAGTTGAAACTACAGGCACCCACTACCATGCCTGGCTAATTTTTCTATTTTTAGTAGAGAGAGAGTCTCACTTTGCTCAGACTGGTCTTGAACACCTGAGCTTAAGGGATCCTCTCTCCTTGGGCTCCCAGAGTGCTAGGAATACAAGTGTGAGCCATTGGGTTGGCCCATTCCCCTTTGCTCTTTTTTTTTTTTTTTTTTTAAGCTCACAGCAACCTCAAACTCTTAGACACAAGTGATCCTCTTGCCTCAGCCTCCCCAGTAGCTGGGACTACAGGTGTCTACCAGAGTGCCTGGCTATTTTTAGAGATAGAGTCTAGCTCTTTCTTAGGCTGGTCTTGAGCCCGTGAGCTCAGGCAATCCACCTGCCTTGGCCTCCCAGAGTGCTAGGATTATAGGCATGAGATACCATGCCCGGCCTCCCTTCACTCTTGAATGTAAAGCAAGAATGACATCAAGGATCCCTAGAAAGCCTTTATAGTTGTGAAGCTACTAATAAAATGAACCAGAGATTCTTTTTCTTTCTTTTTTTTT